ATGACCATTTTTCGCACTTAGAGCCATTGCAGCATCTCAACGGTCACGTGATCAAAATTCAGAACTTTGGCAACTGACTCACATCTATGATGGTCGCAGTGTCCCCGGGTCACGTGATCCCCTTTTGTAACCTTCAGGCAAGCAATGTCAAAATGGGAAGTCAGGTTCACTTAACCATGTCACTAACTTAACAACTGCAGTGATTCACTTAACAACTGTGGCAAGAGACTGTGGAAAATGAAAATATTGGCTATTGTTTTTTTTAATGCAAGGTTTAGGCCCAGGTGAACTAAATCAGGCCTCGTGGACAAAGCATTGAACCAAAGTCTGTGCTGTGCTTAATTTTGCATTTTGCAATTGTACTTAATATGATTTTGCTAAGCTTGTTTCAAATATATTTAAAAAATAAAGACTGGAACAGTAAGAAGTAGGGAACTGGAAGTAGCTGATGGATGCGGGTTCCAATGTACATGGGAAAGTTATGTTCAGCAGAAGGTCAGCAAAAGTCAGCAGACGGGAAAGGGACTGGATCTGAGTGATTTGCCATTGGCCTATAGCTGTCTTTTGGAATGTGCTATGCAAGTGGACCTCATTGCAATGGGTTATCAATGTAAGTGACGCTGTGTTATTATGCTTGCTATGTTCCAAATTATTAGCAAAATAAACCTCTGAATCTTAAAGTAAGAATTATTGTTTTGTGTTGCTGTCTCTTGTCTTTTTCATTGGGTTTTTTTCACGACAAGATGTCGTTAAAATGAGGCAAAAGTCACTTAACCCATCTCTTAGTAACAAATGGGGTCAACTGTGGTCGTGAGTCGAGGATTACCTGTCAAAATCTGCTCCAGCCAGCTGTTTTTTCAGCCCCCGTGTCCATGACTGACTCCCCTTATTTTACTGGGATGAAGCTCACCTTTCCTTATTTATCCTGACACCAGGATTCACCACAGGTGTGTTTTCTCACCTGTCTTCTGGGAATTTCAGTGAAGGGCCCAGAGAGGTGAGGCAGAAGAAGAAGAATCTACAAGATGCCAAGCTAATTTTCTGCAAATCCAAGGATGGATGAGGGCATCTCAGTCAGTTCTTGAAAACTCTGGCAACCACGAGTTCTGAGGTATCACATCAAACACGCTTCAGCAATTATTTCTGGCTGATGGCCAGCAGCCCATGCCCTCATTAATCCTTAAATTAAGCTGAGGCGTGAACGCAACAATCACAAGAGTTAACTCTGCTGAAAACAGCTAGGGTATTAAATTAATAGCGCTCTAACCTCCCCTCCAGATAATAACAGATAATTGAGGTTGATTTTTTTTTTAATAGTACGCAGCATAATGGAATCAAAAACACTAATTAAAGAAAAAGGAGAAGAAAACTAGGGGTGAATGGACAATCCTTTCAAAAGAACAACATCATACAGCAGGGGTCTTCAAACTTGGCCCTTTTATGACTTGTGGACTTCAACTCCCAGAATTCCTCAGCCAGGCACACATGCCTGGCTGAGGAAATTCTGGGAGTTGAAGTCCACAAGTCATAAAAGGGCCAAGTTTGAAGACCCCTGTCATACGGAATGTCTATTTTGCACATGCTGGAGATAGTATCAAAAAAGTATTTTGGGACCTGGAGCTGAAATCCTCAAGAAGGTGATTTAACATTAACACTCAAATAATCCTTAACAGTGACCATTTGCAATTCTTCCCCCGCAGAGATTAGTGTAATATTTCCGTTAATAAAATAATGAGACTTCATTATGCTCCACAAGCCTTTTTCTTTTTTAAAAAAATTAAACTTCAGTGGAATGATTGTACTTCAAACTGCATTTGAGTTGCCAAAATTCTGCAAAATGAACGCCATAATTAAAGTAATTGGGTAATCCATCAGTGTGATCGTTCTTAATACGCTTGAGTGAATCTGAAAGAATTGGGTGGATGGGGAAAAGGGGCAGGAAAGGAGAAAAAAAACCTTTGCAGATGGAATTACTGTATAAGAGAGTTAGAAGAATAATCTCTCCATCTGGGTACCGAAGAGAATAAAGGAGACATGCAAAATTTGGGGAGATGCAAAATTTTGATTTGACCCCTGATTCTTTGGAATTGCTTCTTCTTCTGCTGAGGGGCAACAGGTTAATTTTTTAGAGATCGTTTAATGGATCACAATAGAAAAAGCTTTATTGTGGAGATCCTTCGGTTCTAATTTAACGTGGCATTTTTCCTATTAATCGGCCCCAGACAGTCCTCATTTAGCAACTGCCTTGTACAGTGACCAATGATAATAATAATAATAATAATAATTTAATTTGTACCCCGCCCTTCTCCTCACCGGACTCAGGGCGGCTAACAGCCTTATAAAACCACAGTACAATAAATATCCATTAAAACCAAATTAAAAGAAAATATTTGAAAAGGCCAATCATTAAAATTACCCTTAAAATTACCCTTAAAAACCCCACTAAAATTCCCTAGGCCAGACCCGCTTGTTGAAAAAGCCATGTCTTTAGGGCGCGGCGGAAGGAGGGGAGATCCGGGATCACCCGGATCTCTGGGGGTAGATGAAAAAATAACTTTGCAAACTTTGCAGAAAAGAATGGAAATCTCAAGTCAGATCAGCCATTCCCTCACTCGGTTGTTAAGTTTCAAAGGGGCCACTCACAGTTTCACAGAGCGACCGCTTTGCTTAATAACCGAGTTGGTGCATGCAATAAATGTTTGATGCTAACCGTTTGGAATTTCAAGTTTTTTCACAGCTATGATATAAAACAAAGACTTTTACTTTAAAAAAAAAAGAAATTACAGGAGCTAACAAGTAAGAATTACAAAGACATTCTTTGTATTTGCTGGTTTTTGCTGTCCAAAAAAACAGATCTGACAGATCATATAGCTCTGAGCAAACAGAGTTTATTTGTCTTGCCTCTTTTTTTAACCGTTAGCTTTCTATTTTTAAAAGATGAATTCCCACACAAGCTTAGAAGGTCGTGGTCCCATAACAGAGGCGGTAACTAGAAGCAACACCATTAGCTGTAATGAAATGATTCTGACCTTTGGCGTATTTATTTTGTAGTACTAGTTTTATAATTAGCCCAGTTAGAGTCTTGTCTCCTTTGCAGTCACCGAGCAGACAGTGTAAAAATAGAAACTTCGGGCCCAAAAATAATGCTTAAAGACCTACTTTGTGTTTTTTTTAAAAAAATGCATTATAACTGCTCTGAAGATCCTTCTTTTGCTTTTGCTTTTATTTCTCTCTACATTCACATAGAGCAATGTTTCTCAAGGTCAGCAGCTTTAAGATGTGTAAACTCCCAGAATCCCCCAGCCAGCCTGGATCCACACTTAAAGGTTTTTGAGGTGGGGCTGTAGGAGATGACAACACAGGTGGTGTTGTACTGGTATGGGGCTTAGAAAGTGTGAGTTTTGTTTCTGAAGTGTGTTGAAGGAACTTTGGTGCAGTGTCCTAAAAACAGCAAAGTGGACTTTCTGAACTGTATTTTTCTCTGTCCTATAGAAAGAGCCACAGAAACCATAAAAGCTCATTTGGTGAGCCTTTTTCCTCCTTTTCCTAATGGAAAACTTTCCCAAGTTGTATCTTTTTCATGCCCCAAAAGAATCATTAGGGTATTTTTATTTTTATAAATATGTCTTGGAAAAATTGCCATCCTGAAAGACCACAAACAATGTAAATTGTGGCTACAGTTGATGGAAGATATCTTCATTAAACTGGCCATTTGTGGTGCTCCTTCTTCACATTCCTGGGATGGGCATTCCAGGGAATAAAACGGCCACACACCAAATTCAAAACAATTTGATCCGAAGGATATAAATTGCCTTTTCACTTTGGGGAGATGGATCTATAACTTTAGAGGAGTAAGAGATTTCTGAAGGGATTTTATTGTGTTTATGATTTTAGTATGTGTAAGCTTGACACTAGTGCAGTGGTAGGCAACCTTGGCTCCTGCTGGCTCAGGAATTCTGGGAGTTGAAGTCCACGAGTCATAAAAGAGCCACGGTTGCCTACCCCTGCGTGACTAGCAGCTATTATATATATAATAGCTGCTAGTGTCAAGCTTAAACATACTAACACAATAAAATCCCTTCATTTCAAAAGGATGACCGTGTCAACATTGAGCTGCTTTGATGCCCTTCAATCAGTGATGCTTGTGGAGAGGGGAAAAAAGTGTTTTCATGGCCTGCTCTGGCCCTGATGTGACAGCCACACTCCCTCTTCCGTGCCGTTTCTGAAGCTTGGAGAAATTTTACCTCAGTTCCATGTTTCCTGTCAGACATGAACAGCCAAGAAGCGTTGAGAGATGCTAACCTTTGTTCATCGCGAGGGAGCTGCAACGAAAGATCGTTTGATTAGCCAAATACGGCCTCTAAATTCCTTAAAATGATGGGTTTGTCTGTACAGGTAGTCCTCGAATTACGGCTACAATTGAGCTCAAAGTTTCTGTTGCTAAGCGAGATGTTTGTGAGGTGAATTTTGCCCCATTTTACAACCTTCCTCGCCTCAGATGTTTAGCGAACCCCTGCAGTTGTTAAGTTAGTGACACGGTTGTGGCTTCCCCACTGACTTTGCTTGTCAGAAGGTCACAAAAGGGGGATCACCTGACCCCCCCGGGACACTGCAACCGTCATAAGTACAAGTCAGTTGCCAAGCGTCCGACTTTTGATCATGTGACCTGGGGATGCTGCAACGGTCGTATCAAAATGGTCACTTTGGACGGTCACTAAATGAACTGTGGTAAGTCAAGGGTTCCCTGTATTAATAGATTGGTAACTGGCCAGTTACTCGCATAGCTTCAGTGCAGGAAGGCTTACATTTCTACTTGCAGGGAGCAAATTCTGAGTCGGGAAATAAGAGGAAAGCCAAGTCGGGCAGAGTCTGAGTCCTTTTGCAGGCCGTTGTTACTTTCGACCCTTTTAAGCTGTTGAAATCACTGTGTGAGTTTGTGGTCCTTTGGACAGCTGGAGCCCAGCGTTGTTATTCACCCACCTCTTTGCCACTTTCTTTAGGAGTGTCCCAGTGGGATTGTTAATGAAGAGGCCTTCAAAGTGATTTACTCTCAGTTCTTCCCACAGGGAGGTGAGTCCTTCCAGATAAGTAGTCCTGTTTGCATGTACTCCCCCCTTACCTCTCCCTGCTTTAACCTCCAGGGTGGGGGCCAGGGGAATTCAGTCGCTGGGGCTGGAGATATGCTTGGGGTTCCGTTCGTTCCTGGGTGCCTTCCCTCTGGGCCACAGGCTAGCCGGGGTTCAGGACTATGCTGCCTTTTGTTCCAGATTGCTTTCTGTCCCAGGTTAGCTCGAAGGGGGGGGGGAGGAGGAGGAGGAAGGAGAAAGGAGAAGAAGAAAAAGGAGGAGGAAGGAGGACAGAGAAAAGAGGGAAAGGGAGAAGAAAAAGGAGGAGGAAGGAGGAGAAGAAAAAGAAGGTGGAGGAGGAGGAAGAAGAGGGAGGAGAAGGAGGAGGAGGAGAAGAAAAAGGAGGAGGAGGAGAGGAGGAGGAGGAGGAGGAGG